AATTCGATCTTTTACTAGGATTAGCTACTATGGCATTCGGTTCAAAACCGAGTTCAAGACAGTATAGTTCCCATGTCGCGTTCTATACTGGACTCCAGCTTGGGCCGACGTGTGAATCAATTCATTCCCGCATCTATAAATTATTGTAAAATTTACTTAAAATTTGAAGGTATAAAAGAGTATTGAAAAAATATAAAACTGAAATGACATTTGCGTTTGTTTTTTAATGATATTATTTATGTAATGATATTATAACCAGTCTCAATTGTTTTAAACATCTTTGGTTAATGGACTTTCCAGTACATAAACCTTTAATTCAGTAAGAACTATAACATATTTATTAAAAAAAATGTGCTACCGAATTACAAAAACCATTTTATCCATACTATATGGACTTGTAGGGTAAAGACGTACTGAGATGCTAATTTTTAAGAAGGCGGTTCACAAATAGAACGTTTGGTCACTTTGAAAAATCAGCACATGAAGATGCTGAACCCAAAGGGAACAAATCATACATCGTAACCAACCTTCGCCGGGGCTCAGAACGGGAGGGTCTTTTCAATAAATGCAAGTCAAATCTCATTTTACTACGGATGTATTTTTTGGTCGGTTTTCATAAGAAGAAGTTAAGAGCCAATCACTTTTGCAGATTTCAATTTTTTTTGGCCTCAAATGAACTTTAGATATAGAACTATGTCTTTTGTCCGAAGAATAAAAAACAAAAATTCTATCACCTCTTCATAATTTCAATATAATTGATTGAAATCACTAATTTTGACGTAAGTTTATTGATTTTAAAATTATAAAAAAGTAAATAAAAAAAAAGTAAATTTTTGTCAAAAATTTATAGTTTCTCAAAAATCTAATTTTTCAGAGAATTTTTTTTCAAAAAATGTTATCTTTTTTTAAAAAAATAATTTTCGTACGAGAAGTTCCAGCAATTTGCCTTAAGGCACGATGCCATGCGCCCCACTAGTTTGTTTACATAATATTGTGTATTAATTTTTTGTATTTGTAGTCTGCTAATATAAACTGGAGTATTATAAAATTAAACTGTTGAAAAAAGTAAAGCGGAGCGCCAGCACATTTTTTTTTATTATAGCAGAGGGGGAGTGGCGCCAAAAAGTTGGAAACCACTGGCTTAGCCCATCATCTCCATATAACATGTAACCGAGAATAGCTATTACACTTATAGTAACATTTTGAACGAAGAAAAAAAAGACTTTCGTAAGATGTGTAACCGAGAATAGGTCCACATTAGTAGGTTCTAGTAGGTTCTTCTGTTTCATCAATTTTTTAAAATGGATTTTTTAATGTATTTTATGAATATTGTTTACTTAATATGTATTGATAGTTATGTCGTTGTCAAATTGAAATAGGATAAAACAATTTAATTAATATAAACATCGATAACTTAGCAATAAACTGTATGATAAGCATGCGTGCAAATAATAGGTAAATAATTTAGTTGCACGTACTGGACATAAAAAAGTCGTTAATCGTGACAATTATACGTATCATTGTGTGTTGGTGTCAATATACGAATTACGTAACACATGCATATATACATACATACACACAAATATATATATATATATATATATATATATATATATATATATGTATATAAACATGTATGCTTAGTTCGTCAGAAGAAAATCTTTATGAGATTTTCTCAGCAAATTTCAGTTATGCTTCGATAGCCATCTGAGCGCCATTTATTCGATTCGTTAGTCTAAATAAGAGTTTTCGGATTCAGTAAATGCATTTTGGACCTCTTGTATACATAAATATTTTGATACACGTAAAAAATAAGCATTTCGAATTTTAAATAAGAAAAAAATGAATTACAACAGTGATTAAGATATTGTGTTAAAATTTGATGGTCTTGCTTAAAATTAAGAAGCCCATTTTGCATTCAACTTTGTGTAATAATGTGCATTTGTTTTTGGACTAAATATTTTATAAAGGTAATTTTGATCTTGCAAAAAAAGTATAAAATAGATAGTCTTTGTAAGTAGTCCCAAAGTAACCTTAGATAATACATAAAGATAACTCGATTAATCCGTTTTTAAGCCTTAACTCAAAAAAAAAAAAAATAAAAAAATAAACACAAACTTTTTTTACATAAATCTTAACTTTTTCATAATCTCTCATACCAGGCACCTCTGTCTGACAGATATGAAAATAATGTATATATATATATATATATATATATATATATATATATAAATAAAAAAATTAAAAAAAACTCGTAGATGCAATATAGCGATATATAATAAATAATTATTTATTGTAAATGGTATTTGTGCCCTATGTAATGTAAAGTCTAATGTATCTGTAAAAATTGTATTTACGGGCTAAATTACACCCCAGGTCAAAGGCCCAATAAAAAAAATTCATACTATAGATTATTTTCTAAAATATATTGGAAACATTACCTATTTTCTATCGCAAATTTAGATAAAAAATATAAAAAATAATGCTTTTTAGCATGAACGTAATTTGTCAGGATAATGTTGTAACCCATTCCACTCGGATGCGGCCGATTCATATAAATCTCAGAATTTGTGAGTGGAAAGAGTTAACAATATTCAATAATAAGTGAATTAACAAAATCTACTAAATTGCTTTATTCTCAATTTTTGTTAGAAGTTATAAATCATTTCATTTTGAACTATTACCTTTAGATATAGCAAACTCTGTTTGTGAAATATATGTAATAAAGTAATAATTAAAAATATCTATGCAATATTTATTTATGACGATAAAAAGCCAAAGAAACAGAAAACGTTGACCGAATTTGAAACCGATATAGGACCTTGTATAGCGCACAGCTTATTTTTATAAACTTTAATTAATTTTTATAATTAAACCATTGTTCACAGAACTCTAATATTTTAGGAGGCTTGTTTTGACTTTTAACTCTACAACCGTGTGAAGTTTCATCAAAATCCCGGGAAAACAAATATTATGTTCTCCTTGTTAGCATCATTATCTATTACATATATTCAATTGTTAGAGATTTATAAAAAAAAAAATCCGACAAAATTTTCTTTGCTCATATAAATTTTAGGATATAGTTATTTTAAAGTATAACGAGTTACAATATTTGGATTTTTAAATTTTTTATAAATTGCCTTTAAAAAAATCCGTTTCTAATTCCAGGCTGATTGTGAGTGTTCTATTTATAGTACAACGTGCAAATATGGGGCAAATACCATAACATAATTCACATATTAATCTAGCTTATCTATATTGAAATTATACTATTTTGATTAAAGATGATGATAGACATCAGTGGCTATTTTAAACTGTACTAAAGTATACCAAGTTGCTGTTATAAGATATGACATTCAAAATGTTAGATTTTTCAATTTTATATAATTAGTCTAAATATATTATAAGAACCCATCATTCTTCAATTTTCGAATAATTGTAAAAAGTAAATATGGGTTACGAAAATATAATTACAGTATTAATTTACCTTATACATATCGCATCTTAACTATTTTAATTTCAAATTAAAGATGCGATCGACATCAGTGGCTATTTTGAAGTTTCTGAATTGGTGTAAAACACGTTGATATTAAAAATATTAGTTTTTTTTGTAAAAAAATTGCAAAAAAGTCAAAATATGCAAGTATGAACAAAATAGTTTCCAACTCTGGATTTTACTATATGTAGTACCATAAGCAAATGTGGATTATAATAACAATTCTTATATTAATCCAGCTTATGCATATTATTCAAACCATACTATAACCATAGAAACCATACTCTCTCAATTTTTATTAAAGACTATTAAAGTATTCGGAGTTGCATAATACATTTGATATTCTATGTTTTTCAATTTTATATAAATAATGTCTAAATACAGTAAAACTCCCCTAAGACAAGTTTTCAGGAACCAGACCAAAAACTGAATTTTAAGAGAGAAAGCGTATTTTGCGACAAAATGTTTTACAGTGCGGGGATCGGTATAAAGTGCCCAATTCTGCACAAAATCGTCAAAAATTAAGTATGATTGACTTAAAGAGGATTTCTACCATATAAACAAAAAAGTCAATTCAATTCTGGATTAATTTTACTATTTATAGTAAGGGCGACACTTATTTTGATCAGCAATTATTTTGTTAATTTACCAGTTATCTGAGAAAATAAACGGCAATTTCAACATTTGTCTACGTCAAAATACTAAAATACATTCATTAAACACGATAGATTAGTCCTTAATTCAAATAATACTATAAAAGGGCGAGTGTCACCGTCCACATTCCCAGAACATTTGTGACAGGCATAAACTTTTTTTTTACCTTTATTTATTATTTTGTCAATCAAGACTTATAAAGTCTTAGAATACAAAAACTGCTTGCTTAGGTAATAAAAAAAACAATCACAGTAAAAAATATACATAATAAGTAATAAAAATTAAGAAACTAAAGAAAAATTATAAAATAAAGTAAAAATACAAATATAAATGAAAAAAATTGACTTTGTGGAAGGTGTTGCCGACATAAGGCATAAACATGTATTAAAAAACAATAGCAAAATGGTTTATAACGACTTTTATTGTCGTTAATAACAATAACACAACACAACATAAGCATTTCAAGAAAGCTTAAGAATAAAATATAACAATATATAACAAAACATAATTTTTAAACAAAGTTGCCAAGAAATCTTTGTGTTTTATTTTCTTTTCTTGTATTGAATTTTCCTTTCCCTTTCACTTTTGTATTTTATCTTAGTTAAGTTAGATTTTCATTTATTCGTTTAATGTTCACCCGAAAAAACAAGAAATACATTTAAATTAATTTCTGGTAATTAAGTACTGATGTTCAACTTACAGCAAAATAATAACCGTGATCTATATGTATAGAAGTAACAGTCATTATTAAAAAAAAAATTAATACCCTAATCTAGCAAGCTGTTTAATGAAACAATTTTTATATTTTTTTATAGTAAATCATCAAAATATGTAAGTTAATTTAATTTTTTTTGTAGTATTATTATAATATTTTATTATTTACTATTATTATATATTATTATTATTATTAGTTACTATTTTTATGTTATTATCTTTATTTATTCTTATTTAGTTTATATACATAAGCAAAGCAGCTCATAGAATGTAATTACTGTTCTGATTGCTGTATAATAATAAATGAATAATAAAAAATATTAAAAAAAATCGAACAAAATATCTTACTTTTGGCTCTTTACGAACAACTCGGTCTACAGATCATGTAAATGTAGGGCGCTGACTGAAAGCAATAATGGGAATTTGTTCGAACAAACATACTTCATATTTTCCCTTTGGACCCTATCTCAAAATCAGTATAGTCTAGCTGTTATGACGACTGTCTATATCGTACCCAGCTTCAATCTTTTGTCCCGGATTGTTTCAGTTTTTTGAAAATTATTAAGCAAATTAACAAACAAAAAAGTGCTATTTTTTTCAAAGAATGAATAGAAGTTTCTACAAGGCTCGAAAGCAAAAAGAACATATAGATAGAAAAATATAAGATTAATATTATACAGATAAAGTATTTCATATAATCTGATAACATTCTTGCTAAAAGTCTGCAATTCTGACATAAAAAAATTCAAACTCAAATTTCCGTCCCGATTTTGACTTAAAAAAATATGGCCACATTACTAAAACCCAATTCCCATATTAATCTATCTTTATCTTATCTATTTCAAACTATATTATTCTAATTTTGATTAAAGACGCGATCGACGTCGGAGGACGCACCAGGAAATGAGCAGACATCCGGAGCGGATCCTGGGCTTGAACTGGATCATGTTTCGTCGGAAGCAGATTCAGGGCAAACGGCCGATCGAAAGCAAAACAATACGGCAGGCCGGGAAAATAAGAAAATCACGGGAATCGACGAGGACGGAAAACGACACATTTCCAAAAGTCAAATGAGAGGTAAGGGAAAGATTTGTCATGAATAGGTTTAGATAAAATTGCATTTATTCATCATCAGATCAGATAGGAAATATTGCTTATGCCAGAAATCAGATTTCATATTAATTTGTATTAATAATTAGGGCAGCTTGTGCGTAAGCAATTTAAATATAAAAGTAATACAAAGAGCGCAAACGAATATTTTAAGGAGCACAACTAGTGTAACCGCCTGTTAAAAATAGGTGATTTTTGGAAATTTATATTAAAAATACTACTTTATCAATCATTTCAAAATTTCAGAAATATATTTATACATGTTTTAAGAATACATAGTAAAATTTTTGAAGAAAAACATTAAATATTTTGTAAGTTATCGTCGATCTCCAACGGCGCGACAAAAAAAGGCCCTTCACTGCTGCAGTGATTCCGGCCTTCTACGTGGATGAAATTTAAAAAAAAAAAATCTCGTTAAACTAGAAAATATTGTCTGTGAAAGGAACTACAATAAAAAAAATCAAAAATTGACAAAATGACGGCGTTTTTTTAAAAAAGTCGAATTTTACCCAAAATTTTGGTCGTTTTTGGACTGCCAAAATTCGATTTTTGATCCGATCAAAAAATCGATAGTTAATTTTACGGACAACTATATATAGAACATGTAAAAAAAAATTGATAGTGATCGAATCATTTGTTTTTGAGTAATCGCTGCAGCAAATTCGGAAAATGCTGTTTCGAGAAAAATGCGTTTAAAGATCAAATGATCGTTACATTATATACTATACATACATGGTCTGTTCAAAAAGTACCCGGAATTACTAATAATTAAATTTCGCGGGTCTGGAGTGTCTGATTGTCAAATTTTTTTTTTTTTATTGTGTTGGTATACATGCCCCTAAAGTATGATGAAATTTTCAGCTATATTCACTGTTTACTTTGTCTGTGGTAGTCGCTAAGGTTCGACGTGTTTTTCTGAGCTCGGCGATTTTTACAATGGAAGAATTGAAAAAGTCAAAGAATTTGTATTAAATTTTGCGTAAAAAATGAAATAAAGTGTTGCAAAGTGCAAAAATTCACCAGATATGGCTCCGTGTGACTTTTTCCTATTCCCAAAGTTGAAGAGACCCATGAAAGGACGGCGGTTTTCCTCGATTGAAGAAAATCGCCGAGAGTGCTCAAGGACATATCAAAAAGTGAATATCAAGGGTGCTTCGAAAATTGGAAAAAACGCTGGCATAAGTGTATTATATCTGGGGGGGACTACTTTGAAGGGGACCACATTAATGTAGACGAATAAATAAATATTTTTTTGAAAAAACGAAAATTACGAAAACTTTTTGAACAGACCTCGTATACTCTTTAAATGGCAGTGACTCAAAAACTATTTAAGATATCGATTTAAAATTTTGGTATGTTATTTTTTTTAAAGGTATAACCTATCGAAATATAAAAAAAATTAAAAATTCGATTTTTTGAAAACTTCACACTAGTTGTGCCCCTTAAGATGCATTGTGAACGCACCCTGGCATATTACAAATGACACTCTACATAAAGACTTAAAAATAAAAACTATTAATGAAATGATAAAAAAGGAGCAAAAAATACCACGAAAAATTACCAGGTCACCCAAACAAATATTTATAAGAATAAAGCGAGGAATCTCCTACTCGAACATTGAAAAAAAAATTGCCATACGATCTTAAATAAAATGTCAAAAAAATAAAAAATACATATCTCATAGGAAATAACCTCTTTAAATGCATTCACATCCAGCATATTGTCTTAAAAAAATATATTATTTTGATCAGCAATAAATCTATGCAAAAAAAAATAGGGCAGTTGGGGTAAATTGTTAGAAGAAAAACCCAAATGACTAGTTGTAAGTAGCATTTTACCTTAAGGCAAGTTGCATGAACTATCGTCTATACGTATGCATAATTAACTTATTCAATAAGAACAGAGACTCAGCTATTTAGGTATAATATCCAACTGTTATTTCAGAAACAAAATATTTGCTTTCACTAAATAATAATTGATACGACTTCCAATAGATGTCTTTCAAAAATATTTATAATATTTGTAATTGTGTAAATTAAATCAATTTGCTTAACGAAAACATTTTATATATTTTGGGTTCTATAAATGTATTTTATTCAAGTGTGAATGTCAACTGTAATCAATACCAGCAAAACACCGAACGTATATAGAGTTCTGGCATAAATTATGATCAGAATTGCTTGACCGGCGAAATTAATAAACTTTAATAAATTTTTATAATTTATTTCGCTTATCGTAGGTCTATGGTACTTTAGTATATCATTTCAGACTATGTAATCTACCGTTGTAGAAAGTTTTGTCAAAATAGTCTAAACAAAAAAAAAATCAACATTTATTTACAAAGAAAGGGCCCGGTTAATCTTTCGAACAGTTTTTGAAATTTTTTCCTTTTGGGCGGCAAAATTCGTATAGATCTTGGAATTCGCGAATGGAAAGTGTTAAAAACGTTTTAAGGTCAAAAATTGGCTCAAATACACACACAGACATGCTTTTTTTCGAATTTGTTCTCATTCAATTCAGAATTACTTGGAACGTCGAGAAAACAGAAAATTAGCAAATTTAGATTTTTTGCGAAAAGAACTTCTTCAGAAAGTTAAAATGTAACGACAAAAATATTTATTTAATCAACAGAAACTATAACAATTCTCTTCAATTATAAGCATATACACACAACTCTTATTAATGACTTCTTAATTTAAATTGTACTTTAGTGATATTGGTCGGCACAATATTATAGTATCAAAATAGTATAATAATAAATAATAATATGAGCATTTGTTAAACAAATATTAAATCTCCTATATAATGTCGTATAAAAATCTGTTCATTAGAAACGTTTAGTTCTTGAATGGCAAAAGAAAGCAACATCTTATAATCTCTTACAGTCCTGTTAATTATTTATTAATATTTCGTCTTATTTTTACGATTTTATGCTATTTTGTAAAAAAAATATTAATTGGAGTTCTCTGTTATACTATTACACAGTTCCCCGTAAAATAGTGCTTCACGTGAGGCAAATCGAAAAAAGTATCAAATGAATCATTTTAGTTGATGTTTACAAAAAATTTACTTAACTATGATTAGAAAAACTGCCAAATACCAAACTTTTACATATAATATACCAAGATTTTTTTTTAATTGATTTTGAGCATCAGGAATCAAAACTTAAGAGTCCTATATGCTGTAAGCCTAATTTGGTGTATACTACGTCGGTTTTACAGATGGCAACCCAAACAGCTATCTCACCTCGGTGTGATAAATTTCATTATTATAATTTCTGTAATAATGCGAATACTTTATTGATGCAGCAATGCCGAATAAGAGGTATTTTCACTTGGAAACATATTGCTATCTATTTTTTTTTCAAGTTAAAACCGATGTCACTACTGCTTGACATCAGGCTCCTCGACGCGGAATCGAACCTGGGACCTCTGATTCATGTCTACTTTACTCACTAGACTGAACCCTACTAAAAAATAAATGAAAAACTTCGCCATATTTTTTTTACGTTTGGCCACATAAATTCTATCATTGTTTGCGGTAAAAATTTGGGCGACGACAACTGTTTAACAATAGAACGGTATCTGCACACCTCCGAGGAGTACATGCAGACAAGAATGAATGGTGATGGCACATTTACTATGGAAATTTTGAAAAATTATAAAGATTATTTGTTACTAAACCAGAGTTTTATATTTTCTGAAATAACCTTTGATGATATCACGAAGTATACCATGACAAATGACGGATAAAAAATAACTTGTTAAGCACAACACCGTTCAAGGGTTAATGATGGACGCTCATAAATCTATAAACTGTATATCAACTATATAAAAGCGAATCTCAGAATCAAAAATAGTTGCGTTGTAGCAGCGTGTTTCATGTACCAACGTGCACCATCTTACACTAAAAAATTATTTCTTAAAAATAGTACTTACCTTTATAACTTGTCCAACAATGACCTTTGCACCTTTTGCACTTGAATTATTACAGCAACGTAATCTTGTATCACTGTCACAATATTTTCACAATTTACTATCAAACTCGCTAAAGATTTTATTTTATTTTAAATGCCGATTATAATTTAGACATAAAAAAATTGCAATAACACTAACAAATCCACTTTTGATCATTGACGAATTAGGCGCACTACACTGCTCACAAAAATATGTATTAGAAGTATCACCACTTTATTAAATTGACAAAAATAAAAAAAAAAGTTAATAAAAACTTGATAGTTTCTTTGTATATAGTTTAATAATACACTATTCTATTATATTTAAATTTTAATGTTATCACTGCACAATCACAACACAAACTAACCTAAATGGCACGATAAAGTAATGGCTTCTTTTTGACAGGAAAAAGCGCGCGACCAATCAGTATTACCAACTGCCAACCATTAACAATAATATTCAATACTACCAACATTTATATGTTAGATTCAAAAATTTGAATCGAATTAATTTGTATTATAAAAAAATATTTAAATTTATGTATTTATCTACTGATAAACAAGCCGTAATCAATAGTAATAATTAAAATCTTAATCAAAGTTAAATTATTCTTAATTTAAAATTATTATATTATATGTAAATTTTAATTTTAGGTAATCTATAAATGGCATTTGTAACATACGAAGACATTTTTATCATAATATTGGTTTTAATAAAAATTGATTTAATTTATGGCGTATGTATTTTAATTTTGATATCTTATTAACTTATTGAACTAGATATTAGTGGCATTTTGCATTAAGAAAAATTGCATGATATGTGTAATTTATAATGACTTAATCAATAATAATGGAGATATAGGGCATTTTGATGATATTTAAAACTGTTTATTTCGAAAAAAAAGTTCTTGCTTTCTCTAAAATCTAATCAATACGATTTCTAATTGATGTCTTTCAAACCAACTTATATTATCTCTAATTGTATTAATAAAAAAATTAATTATGTTTAAGAAATTTCTATCTACCTTGTGTTCTAAAATTGTACTGTATTGCAATTGTACTGTGTTCTAAAATTGTACTGTATTGCAACGTCTGGAAAAAATAAAATTAGCAAATAGGATCTTCTGTTTGCCAAAAAATAAAATCCTCTGAAAAAGTCCGGCGCAGTTACGTATAATAACTGTGATTACAAAATTGAACTTAGAAATAATAACAACAGTTTAAACTCAAATTAGTTCTAACGTTGAGCAAAGTTGAATTATCTAACCTTTCTGGGTTTGATCATCAACCTCGTCCACCTCGGTATCAAACAGTATGATACTAGATTTTCACTTGAGTTCATATGATCTCAAATATGATCAAGTAAAAATAGATTTTCCAGGGGCATTGCTCCAACAATAGGTTAGATACATACCCAATATAGTCGCCACACATAGGAAAATGGTTAATCCATGGGTTGCCTCTAGTGAAACATTAGAATGTAATTGAATTTTCAAATAAACAGTTTAAAGGACATGTAGCTCTGAGTAGTTTTGACTTGATTTGTTGAAACAAATAATAATAACAATATGACCTTTTCGTCACTCCTTTTGTTAATACAACACCAATATGACCAATATCTTGTCCCTATATCCAAACTTTCTAGTATGATATATTATTTCCCAGAATTCCGAGAAGCCTTCCGTCTCTTCGACAAAGATGGTGATGGTTGCATAACTAAAGAAGAACTGGGCAGTGTAATGAGAAGGTTAGGCCAGTTTGCAAGAATGGAAGAACTGGAAGAAATGCTATCAGAAGTCGACATTGATGGTAAAGCACCTATAAAAAATATTCTTTTAAATCTAATGTAGATGTCAACTTATAAGTTTACTTACCTGTATTAATTATCTTGGACATTGAGTTTACATCAAAGGCTATTATTTCTTCAGGTGATGGAAGTGTTAGTTTTGAAGAATTCGTCGAAATTCTATCTAACATGGCTGCAAACTCTCCTGGATTTAACAAGGACGAGGAAGAAAAAGAGTTACGAGATGCCTTCAGGTAAATGTTAACTTCCTAGTAATTTACCTGCAAAATAAGGTAGAAGTTAGTGAAATGTTGTATTAAAAATTGTAGCAAATATTAGATTTTAACAGTAAAATGTTCTTTTTTAGAGTATTTGATAAACATAATCGTGGTTACATAACAGCTTCGGATTTACGAGCAGTTCTGCAATGTTTGGGTGAAGACTTAAGGGAAGACGAAAGTAAATATATTATAATATTTAGAAATATTAATTTTAATAGCTAAAATATTCAGAAACTATCTACAATCATATATTAATAAACTACCAGCTAATTTTATTTATTTTTGCAGTCGAAGATATGATCAAAGAAGTTGATGTTGATGGTGATGGGCGAATAGATTTCTATGGTAAGAATAAAATTATTATATAAAAAATTCAGCACTTTACAAGAAATGATGTATCCTTTATAACTGTCTAAATAAAATGCATCAATAAATATTTTTTTTAGAATTTGTGAATGCCCTGGGTGAGCCTGAAATGAGTGAATCTCAAGAAGATGAAGAATTTGACGAAGAAATGTACAGTGAGCAAAATTCACCTCTGCCAGCCACGACCATAGCCACTACATGAATAACTTCAGAACCGTAATAAATATTATTAATAACGATTTTATTGCTTCGTTTATTTTACTTCGGTACATCTGTTGATATTTGGCAACAAGCCATTGAGTTACATGACTCAAAACTAATATAATACTAAGATTTTGTTTAGTTTTTAATTTATCAAGTAAAAATATGCAAAAAATACTATATATTTACATATCTTGGATAATTACATTCAAAACTATGCTACTATATGGAACTATAATACACTGACAATGGTAAGGTAAGAAGGGCAAAGAGTTGAGATGTTAATGATAGATTTCTGTTCAAGATAAAAAAGTGAGGTAATAAAACAACGACAGAAAGGTTAAAACTTCTGAAAAAATAAAGTTTCATTTAAAAATCACTTCTGGGTACAAGTTTTGATGCGATAGGAATCATTTCTGACGTGACTTGATGGTCACAGATCAGAACCACATTTAATTACCTGTGGAGGTTAATAGCGTACGATTCAAACCAAGATTACCAATAACTTATTCAGTTATACTGGTTATTTTTACAGGTGTGCATGACTGTACTTTACTGTAGACAATTTCCTAAATATAAAACTAGTTACCCTACAAGACAAGATCGGTATTCTGAAATCCACAAGTATTCCGCATGGTTGTCACAGCGCTGAAGGCACTCTTGTGGATTTCAGATTGTTAATGACGCTCAAATCACACGGTATTTACTGGAGGTAAATTAGGAAGTAGAAGGGAAAGGCTTATAGCAATGAATAATCTGAACCAAATCGTATTTTTCTTCCATCGCACATAAATTCCATATGGATGTCACAGCGCTGAAGGCACGCTTGTGGATTTCAGATTGCTACCGCCGCTCAAATCACATGGTATTTACTAGGTACTTCTTCATTAGGAAGTAGAAGAGAAAGGCTTATAACAATAAATAATCTGACCTGAATAGTATTTTTCTTCCATGGTATAACACAGACTATGATGCCCTATGAACTTTCTTGACCTCTTCAGAGGACAGTAAGATTTTTAATGACTTCTTAACTCGGGCCTTGTACGACAGAAACCCAATTGTAGGCTAGTAGATATTGAACAATGAAGGAAGAATGAAATTACTGAACATTTTGGCTTCAATATCTATTGACTTATTTCAAAGGTACTCACCTGATATTAAAAATATATCCCCTATAATCCAATTAAATAGTACACCGCCAATTTCACCATCCTTGGTCAGAAAAGGTATCAAACGACCAATGTTTTGGAATCTATAAACATTATAAATGCGTTAAAATATTTCACAAAATCACCTTAGGTATTTATACAACCTATGGATTAAAACATACTCAAGATTTTGGCTTCAATATCTATTGGCTTATATCAGAGGTACCTGATAATAATACCTGTATCACCTGTATCCAATTAAATAGTACACCGCCAATTTCACCGTCCTTGGTCAGAAAAGGTAACAAACGATTAATGCATTAAAATGTTTTACAAAATCACCTTAAATACATATACAACCTCAAAATGACGATTCCAGAAGTTCCAGAACTCGTACTTTCATGTAGCAGCATTTTTCCTCCGTTACTTTTCTTTTGGTTTATTCGGATTTTTTTTAAGAATTTAGACTTTATAGAATTCGGGTACAAATATTAGATCAGTACCTTCATCAAATAAATTTCTTCGAAATTGTTTCATACTGTGGACATGCAGGCCTAACAGCATGGCTGACTGAATGTAGAAAAAATATTATAAAGTTTTATATTGTATAAATTTGGAATAATTATTAATTACAAAAATATCAAGCTTTTAAATATAATAAAGTATAGGAAAATAGCCTAAATTATCATATCAGATGCACTAACCAGACATAAAATTTTATTCATATGTGTTATTTAATGTTTACTATATGAAGGGGTTAGTCATAAATTACATCAATTGTAAGTGATCAGGATTATCATGGTAATTAATACATAATTTATGGATAATCTCCTGTAATATAGATGATTAGAAATTATATTAAAAATAAATTTGATATATAAACAGGTTGTTGAAATTTTACTAAATTTATTTTGCACCTGACGAGTATGCCACACACAATGCAAATTAGTCACTTTTTCAACTTTTATTAAATAATAGATACTATCAGTTTGAATTTATAAGAAATATACATTATAAAATACTAACAGAAACTTAGTAAAAATTCTATAACTGTTAGTTCTCGATCCAATATTGCATTTATTAATTATTATAAATCGATCTATTAATATATAAATTAGGGAAGAAACGATATATGTTTAACAAATGTCTTTTGTAAGGGTAATCTGAGGCAAAAGTTTCTCGAATATTCTATGGAAAAACTTTACTTTTAATCCTGGATAAAAATAAAAAGTAATCGATTTCAATTAGTATAATTCCGACAATCTCTAGCACAATTTAAACCTATTATATCTTGATAATATGCACCATTTACATAATTATTTAATTGAGTAAATTTTATAATTATAGATCTAATTACTATATAGATGTGTACTTTATGTGAAATTATGTATAATTTAAAATCTTACTTATCATGTAACAATTAAGCAAAAATACATGCAGTGTTTTAAGAACATGCAATATTAAAAAATATGAAAAAAATCTAATTCTACTTTTTCAAATCTTTCTTGGGGTACTTGGTTAAAAATTTAAATTTCACCAAAATAATTTTAAAATTTATTGTTATTAATTAACTTTTAACAAAACACTGCTGGTGTAATGTATTTCAGAGATAAACTGTTTCAATTGTTGTTATAATATGAATACTTATATATTAAGCAAAATTTTGGAATACTATTAAAATATTAAATGTTGATAACAAATTTGAAAAAATACTGCTTTTGAATTTAATAACATGCTGACACGATTGTATGGAGTATTACAATAAATAAATTAATAAATAAATAATATATATATATATATATATATATATATATATATAAATTAATATCCGCATTTTTTACCATATTGTTTTATGAAAACGATTTCCAAGAATACGACTTATAATTTTAATATTTAACGTTTCTCTCTTTAAAACAAACTTAATTTTGTTTGTTTTATAAAATAATATGGTGCATATTATTAATTTTGAATTTATGTATTTTTGGATAAACTTTAAGGAATGAAACAATTAGAATTTCCGAAAAGTTTTAAAATGAACAAAATATACAGCACGTGTGTTTAAATAATAAGGCATAATCTAATAATATCTTTCATTTTTTGTAATACTCAATACAATTTTTCAACTTTAACTCATTGTCATAAAATCTGAATGTTGTCAATAAAAATATAAATAAAAATTCTCATATCATGTGTAACTTCTTATGTATCTCGGGTCCATAAATAAATATAAATATTATATGAACAACACAAAAATGCTTATTTATTTATAAATATTATTATATCATTAACTTCCCGTAAGTTATAGTAATCGAAAATAATTTTTTTAAAAATGAATGAATGTGTGTGAGTGTGTGTGTAGTATATATGTGATTGTATGTATGTGCGGATACAAATTTTCGTCGACGATTTTGGAAGCACGGATCTTGATTTCAATGAATCAAGATAGGAAGACGAGCTGATTAGTTTTTATCTAAGGTAGGTCCAAACGTTTCGAAGATATGGAGCAAAAAGTGCAAAAAATAGCAATTCAGTTTTTGAGAGTATAGAGCGCTCGATTTGAAGATTTAAAAAACATTTTACTTGTATTTACGGATTGAAAAACTGACTAATTTTTAGAAAGGTAGGTACAAACGAAACGTCTCTAAAACAGCTACGCAGCGCGATCGATTTGAAAAAATTCAAAATTAAAAAAAATATTAATAATAATAGCACGGAAAGTTCCAGCAATTTGCCTTAAGCTACGATGCCATGCACCATATTGTTATATATTTTTTGCTAAACTCTGGAAAAAATAGCTATGTAATAAAAATAATATTTTTTTTGTATATTTTATTATAAAAACATTATAACATACCAGTGCATATAAAACAAAACATTTTGTCCAAAAACTATACGTTTCCAAGTGCATACAAAGTTTTGATAACAGCTAAAATAAAAATAAAAATAAAGCAAAAATTTAACAAAAAAAATAAAGCCCAATATTTTTTTAACGTATCTGTCATGGTTTCATTGCTTTTTTATGTTGTTTTTCTCTTTGAATAATATTTTATCGATAAATCAGCTAAATGAATAAATCAATAAATCTTTTCATATGTCAGTTACAATAAAAACTAAAAAAGTGAGGTAAGTTTACGTTTAATTTCTTTGTTTTTTTTTTTTAAAGTCACAGCAGTTCAAACTGTGCATTTTTTGAAAAGTAAAAACTTTGCTATGAGAAGAATTTCTCGATGATTTATTCTAAAAATATGTAAAAATATTAATATTTATAAATGAATTTCTAAAAATATTAGTCAAATTTGTTTTTACCATTTTACTAAAATGCACAGTTATTTTTGTTTATCACAGCCTTTTAGCTTTAAACTAAAGGATGTGTGTTTGTAAGAATAATATTTATAAGAACTACGTATTAGCAACAGATCGATAGATTTTCGACGATGAAATAAATATGCAACAATATGATGAAAAACTCCAAAACCTATATTTATTTTTATATTATGAAATTTGTTATTTTAATGAGAATTGATTGAATTCATGGTATTTTTGATACTTTTATTAATCCATCAGATCTATCACTAATCGAAAAACGAAACGATGAACGAAAAGTATCGCTTTTTATTATTAAAAACGTTTTAAATTTTTTAATCGATGACCAGCTTTCTGAAGCTGCCCTCGACGCCGAAGAGATCATCAGCAGTCTTTGGTGCTCCTGGTCTCAAAGCCTCATTGGCTTGGAGGCTTCCTGCTCCTTGAACCATGGTCCGTACTCGTTCATCTTTTGGCGCCAAGATTCTAATAAAATGATAAAAATATTGTTTATAAAAATATTGTTTATTCGTCTTTACACTACTGCGTA